TTAATGATATAATTCTATCATTAAGCGGCGATTGAGCATTAGCGGTTGATGATGTCAGCTATTAATGCAATAATTTTTGGCAGTAAGCGTTGCAATTGCAACGCTTATTGCTATTTCTATCATTAAGCGGCATTTTATCATTAGAGGTTGCTACAATGCACTACAACTGGTAATATTATAGTGTTGATTGGAATAAGAAAAAACATATTGGATGAAGCCCAAATGTATGATAGTGAAGGATTTTTTCACAGAAAAGCTATAATTGACCTTTCCTTGGAGCAGAATCTTACAATACAAGATAAAGAGAAAATATTCGCAGCTTATGATAAAAAGTGCGCTTTTAAAGATTCAATGGAATTGCCTTTTTTTGAATCAAAGCTTATACTATTTTCTGATCCATACTATGGTTTCCCCCTGACATGTTACCAATTCTTTTCCAGACGCAAATTCTACCAACTTGGTCATTCTTATTTTTCACATCCAGATGAAAAGTTATACCAAGCAATAGAACAAATGCGAAAGTCGAAATCTGCCCACAGTGAAAAGGTGTCATATTGTGTATTATGCTATGTATTCATACAAGGAAATATAATGAAGGCTTCTGTAAATTACGATTTGTTCAAAAACATCTGTGAAAAAGTGAGACTCTCTAATGTCCATGAAATGGATATTTCGGATGCCATTGAGGATTTGAATGGACTGTATCTCTCTGATGTGAAATTAAAAAATGTTTACGAATTCTCACATGAAACAATTTTGGAATCTGTTATGGTGTCATTTGGACAGCTAGCTCCGGATATCGTGATAAAACGGTCCAAAAGGGATACAGTTTTTGAATTGATTCGTACGGAAAATTATGACTCTAAACCAGGTGAGATCGTTCTAAAACTTCCACAGCGGCACTTTGAAGACCTGGCTCAGAGAATGTTACGTGGTGATGATGGTGACGGTGTGGAAAACGAAAATATACGCAAAGTTGCAAATGACATTCTGCTGCATCCTGCAACTGAGGATTCCACCTTTGTGTCTGTATTGTTAAAGCGTGATTTGTCTGTCAGAATGGCTTCTATACTTTCTTTGTTTTGTGATATGAACGGATGTATACTGATAAAGGATGTTTTTTTGAAAACGCTGTTGCAATATCATGGCCCTCATTATATTAATTCGGAGCCATTGCAAACGTATGAACATACAGTGGGTGCAACGCTTATCAATTTAAAAACTTATCAAGCTGTAAGGGTTTTAACGTTTATTGTTTTAACAGAAGCAGAATTATCAACTCCAATGTTTCCATACGTAATCCAAAATTATCTTTTTCGACAAGAGTTTATTGCACCATTTTTGATAACACGTCACCGTCTCTCAGAGTTTCTATCAAAATTTCTGTCTGACTATAAAAATGAATCCCGAGTGATGTTTATTCTTGAATATATAATAGAACATGAAGATTTACATGACCTTCTTGGTATTCTTCACGTCGTTTCGCTATCTCCTATTCTGCCAAGTAGAATTCTACCCTTTTGTGGAGATAACAAAGAAACCCCGCTTCATGGTTGTGTTTTACATGGATGGGAAGACACGGTAGATATGATTCTTAAGATCCAAATACCTACGAATACATGGAATGACTGGACATGCGCTCATTTTGCTGCGTTTACTGGACGGTCAGCCTTGTTACAGAGGTTTATTAATCTTGGACAGGATGTAACGGAACGAACAGTTGAAGGATATTCTATGCTCCAGACAGCACTATTAGGACTGAGGTTTGGATCTAGGATTGTTTCTATATGGCAATATATGTTAGAAGAGATTTTACCTGAAGGCATATCTTATAAATTTTTACAGTATTACACTTTTTTATTTCCAGGAGAAAATGAATTTAAGAGAGTTATTAGTATTTTACTAAAGAACAAAACTAAGTGTACTACCAGTGACATTGTAATGGAAATTGACAAGTTCAGAAATAGCATTGCCCATTACTTAGTGATTCATAATTATAACGATATCCTTGATGTGTTCCTTGAATATAACAAAGAGTTTGCTTTCCAGCGTAATAACAGTGAGCTCCCCACAACATTACACGTGGCAGTATACCTTGGTAGACCGAAACTAGTGAAGACATTATGGGAGGCAGGGGTACATCCACGGGAATCCGACATCTCCCTTGAGGAGACGCTCAATTGTGGGAAGAAATTTTGCACACGAAAAATAGAATACTCTCAATTATCGATAAATCGTAAAGAGAAAGAAACGTGTTGGAACGAAAATGGAGAAAACGTATCCGACATTAAAATAAAATGCGTTGCACCTGTGATGGTTGAATTTGGAAGTGAAAATGCCTTCCAAGATGTGAGTTGTTATCTCAAATTTGACTAAGCTATTTAGAAGTATCTACAGGGGAACTGTTACATCTAAATGTTCATAGAAATGTAATTCATCCATTAGCACCGATCAATATATTCAAAATTGATTCATTTTTTTGAACTCTAAATAATTTGTAAAGATGAATAAATTACCACGGAAATTCCACAGTAAAACAAAGCAATTAATAAACTGTGATCATAATGAACGTAATACTATTTTAAATTCAAATACTATATAATTGAGAAGCTTATTCTGTTAATTTGAAAATTGGAACATTTTTGGTCTGCCTTATGCAATATCTAACGGGATAAGTAATTTTACTCTCTTCAGGAGTATCCATCTTCTCCAGAATCTACTCCTTAGAGTGAAGTCTTTTCAACTAAGTTTTAGAACATTGTGAACTTGGTAAACAATAACTACAAAAAAGGGCTTATAAAATAATGTATATTAAAATCAGGAAAAACAAGGGATTATTAGAGCAGTCGTTTAATTTGTGGTGCCATAACATATAAACATATTTTATTGCAAAAAAAAGTCTCGTTAGCATAATTATATACATGTATTAACTTATCATTGTTTCTGGCTGACATGTTTTATATTGTACCAATTGCTGGTTCTTTGTTTTTATAATAAATTCAACTAGCGTGTGTTCCACCTACGAGACCAGTACATAGGATTAACGGCGGGTGTGAAAAATCAACAGGAGATGCTTATTCCTCTCACGCACCTGACCCAACCTCTGGGATATCTAGGGTTCTGTGTTTTATGCCTTGTTTACAAATTTGTATTGCTTGTATATTTTTTTTAGTTGATCACATTTCGTTATCATGTCTAAGAAAATAAAACAAAAGAAAGTCAGTCGCAAAATCTACTTATTCTTTTTTTTTCCACTAAACTCTAATAGTTTTTATATAACCTTTGAAATTACTTAGAATCCATAACACGTAAATAACATTATGATTGTTGATTTTTGTTTTTTATCTACAACGAGTCAGAACAATACAATTAAGATTAGAATATTTTTAGTTCCAATGTACCACCTGCGTAAAAATCGATCTTTTGGAACCCTACCCTTATTTTAATTGGCATGCCTTGAGATTTGTTCCAGGCGGAGGGTATGAGTATTCAAATTTTTGTTCATATTTTATATGTCCGAACACCAATTGCATACAGTGTTTAGTCTTCGTAATGATTCGGTTTTGGCTATGGTACGATAATTTTTTTTAACCCACGTACGCCACTAACTAACAAATTGATGTTACAGTGCTTTGAACATTCTCATTCCAGGAAAGCATTTCGCAATTTCTATGGTTCTTATATGATCTTGTTTGCAAATACAATCTATTCTTGGATAACATGTTTCATACACTCAATAAAAAAAAAGAAACACATATTCAGATAAAACATAATAATCTAAGTTTTAAGTTTAAACCTTAATTTTATAAGTGAATTTAGAGTGTGGTGTGATGAAAATCAAACATGTCCTATGTTAAGTTTATATCATTGACATCACCTCCAAATGCAAGAGACCAATCTCAGCGCTTGTTGATTTTCAATGTGCGGACGTCGTGCACGAATACCAGCTCCCCTCAGTCTCTTGCGAACAACCATGTTCCTAGCTGGTGGAGACGTGCGTTTAACTGCTGCAAAGCCCATTTATGTACACCAAATGCAGTTGCAACTTCGATCCCGTTGTGTAGCTCTTGTTATTATCATTGTTACAGCTTTGTTGCGTTCATCTTTGTTTAGGTGTGGCAATGCAACATCAACATTGCAATCATAGCATAAATATGGGTTTAATAGGAGTGTTTATTGTTTCCCTAAATCCAAAATTTCATTGAAAATAGACCCCCGATTTACAAGAAATCGTGTAAAACACTATTTTCATAAACATGATTAATCAAGGGAAATAGTTCCACAATTGGGGTTTAAAAGCCCATGTTGTACTTTAAATAGGTCACTTGTATCCAATGATTAAAAAAGAAAGTTGTTCCATATACATGTACTTTTTCAATATTTGTTTGATGAGTAAAACAAGATGCGTTCTTTTTTGTTGAGTATACATGTTTATGAATTACGAGATCATTGGTTTTATTATTATTTGGACTATGGAATACCAGATCAAAATAGAGCTCGCAGCATGAATGACTTGTCAGTGGACAGGGGATACTTACTCTTCATAGGCACCTGAGCACTGGACAAAAAAATATGCTTTGTATTGAAAAGCTTAAATGTATAAGTGGTCCCCACCTACCTTTCAAAGGGAGAGTGAGAGGATATGCTTGAACAAAATTGATTCTACACTAATTTAAATAAACTTGAATCTACACCAACTGACATTGCTTCCATATAAATATGACCAACCGTGGCTTTGATGAAGAGAAGATTTTTATATATATATTTTTAATTTCCTATATATTCCCAACCTTTGATTGTCCATTGTGGCCCCACCCTACTCCCAGGGGTCATAATTTAAACAAACCTGAATCTACATCTACTGGCGATGCTTTCACAGAAATATGATAAATTTGAGCCATTGGCTCAGGTGAGCTAAAAATATCGGTAAAAAACTTATTTCTTCTTCTTTAGTTACACTAATTTCCTTTTGCAAAATTCCTGAAGAAATGATAAAGACCTTTTCAAAATCTTTAACATTTATTTCAAACAGATCCAACATTTTCTCTCATTTTATTCATCATATGGCTAGACAGTCAACGTAAAACGCTGTTTTAATGGATCCTCACGTTTGCCTTTTTTGTTTTAAAAAATATGTATTTTGTGGGTAAAACATGAAGAAATGTCATAGCTGAAATGCACCACATTCACAAAGTACATGTATATATCTATAACAGTACACATACACATAATTGTAACATATAATCAATGTTAAACAGTATAACAGGTCATGAAAAATATTTCTCCTTTCGTCAGCTTAATATTATCAGAAAAATGTTGAAACGTCATATAGAGTTATCCCTCTTTGTTCATTATTTAAAAACGATGGTCTTCGTCAAAACAGATTTAAAATCTTAACATTTACTGCAGATGAAAAAATGTCGTTTTAAAAAAAAGAATAATATACTGCAAAAAAATATTTTAGTAGAGGAGTTATGAACTGAATACAATTTTTGGTAAAGGTAAAAAACAGATCAAAAATTGAAACAAAATAGGATGAGGGATTTAATTAAAACTGCAAAATTTAAGGGGAATTTCTTTCTTAAAATCAAAAGGTCCTCGGATTTTTTTTCTAATTAAAATCATATTACTAATTAAAAGAAAAAACCAGGTTTTTCACTACACAGTACCGATGATTCTTTATAGATTTGTTCCCTAACTACAATTCAGTGTGTTATGACATTATAAATAACATGATCTCTTTGAAAATTCATTTAAATATATAAATGAACATAAAATGTTTCTATGGCAACTGACGTCACGTGACGATGGGCGTGACGTCACCTGTTTACATTGAGTAGTACTTCTAACCATGCCGGACATGACGTAATAAACTGCCTGTGATACGAAGGTCCCCATCCTTTGGCAAAACTAATCCGTATGGACGTGGGATCATACGGCCCATCCAGGCAGCTTCTCTCTTTCACAGCACTAAAAACACTGGCCATATCGTAATTAAAAATATTCATGGAATATCCCGGATTCACTTTAATCACCACAGACGTTCGAGAACTAGGGTTATCTAACGTCGGAGAGTTCACAAACACCGGAAAATTTGACCGATTGTACAACCAAACTCCGTCTGCTTCCCGACTCAAAACGAGGCCGAGCCCTATTTTTTCCCGCGTCCGTTTCACACAGTCCACATCCGTTTTGCCTTGGACTAGTCCCAAGGAGAAACCGTTCCCGTGAGGTAGATCTTGAAATATGTTGAGATAAGGTTCGTGTACTATGTACAGTCGCCCCACCCGTTGTCGTAGTTCCCAGTAAGCCACGGAACACCAGTGGTCCGACATCCCCGACCCACAGTCCTCACCCACAGAGGAGTCTAAAAATAGAAACACACCAAGTTATTAATAAATGTGTAAACATACACATGTGCTTATAGATCTTAACTAATGCGAAGTTAGCTGCAGAACTGAAGCTCATCTGCGAAAACAAATATTGATAGGCTGTCCATCGTCTCAAGCCGCGGTCCGGAGTCCGCATAATTTTTACCTCTCTCCTACAGAATGGGAGATGATCTTACATTTTTGCGGTGGTTTGCAACGTTGTAGGCTGTCCAGCCCAATGTTTTCCTACCAGTGAACTATACATGTAAATCTGCATCATAAAAACGTACAGTGTCATACATCTTATTTTCGAATGTAAAGTATAATACTTGAATGCTGCAACAAACAATGTTACATAAAGAGTATGGGAAATCAATTCTTTATTATACAAACGTTAATTTACGATGTGCAGACGGTCATGAAAATTTTGAATTTACCGGGTACTGAAACAGCTGCTTTTCAAATTTCCAAGGACTCACCGTCTGTGGTATGTATTCGTTTTTTCATTCAATCTTTCATTCAAATCTCTCTCTCTCTCTCGATCGAAAATTTTATGACCTATAGAGAACATTAATCAAATATCCAAATAGCTTAACATGTAATAAACATTACATGTATCAAATTAGATATTGCGTTGTCCTTACTAATATTCAGTTTGAACTTAAAGAATATGGCATGCATGAATTGTAATTTTTTTTTTTTTGTCCGTCATCTCATTTATTTCATTTCTAATAAAACCTGGATTATGTTTACTCAATTAGCTTCCCTCTCTTTAATTAATTTACTTTCAGGGAGTATATATATATCCGATTTCTTTCAGGCAACAAGTCTATACTTCATTGCAACCGTCAATTGTTTCCGGGCACAATAAATTATATACCTTCATTCAAAAAAATTTCAGAACAAAGTCATTCAATCAGTTATGACTGTCGACCTATTGCACGGTCTATGGGAAAGAGACAGCGAGTATGAATAAGAAAGAAAAAACCCATCCCTATAATTACTGGCATTTTTTTCTCTAATTGTTTGAGAGACAATAACCCCTTTGTGGCCTCTCGGCTCGGTTGTAGGTCGTCAGTGGTTAGATTTGCACGCATTCCTTCCAATATATATACTACTCATACTTCAGAATGGCTGGCTCCAACTGGAGCGGTCCATTAGCGAGGGGCGGGCAGGTCGTTTTACAGGTAAAGTTCTGTAACGAGTTATTGATTGGTCCCAAAATGAAAAATGTAAATCATTCTCCCCTTTTATTCCCGAGAGCACGGTGTCTCCACCTTAGAGGAAATTGATTGATCTCGCCGCCGACTTACACGGCGTATATACATACACCGACTGCACATATTATGACATAATGGGTCTTGTTATTAGACAGCCACGTTTTTATTACATACCACATTTAATATCTCGTAGTCTTTAAAAACTCTTTTTTTACGTCTCGCATACCTTTGAATCCAATAAATGATATATACTTTTTGCTAATAGATTTTTTTTTTTGCTTCAGACAACAAAAAAGAAAAGAAAAGTCATTTACATGTATATTCAGTTTTTGATAGTGTAAGTTACACACTAGTATACGGTGCATTTGTACTACCTTCAAAAGTTCTTTTTAAGGTTATTTAATTAAATGTATGTATATAAATGGAAGGAGCATATATTTAAACTTGAAGTACATGTCAAAAAGACTGTACATGCACTGATGCTATCAAAAAATTATCTTCTTGAATGAAAATATGTATGTCTTTTATCTTGGTCTTATGATCCGTGTTGACCTTTTATGCGACAACTGATTGATGTAATGAAGCACACTTTTACTTCTTACAGACAAATCATATTTTATAAAGTCTAATCAAGACACCAATAAGTCTCGACAAACATCTGCCACAAACATTCCCCAAACGAACGCAATGCACTTTTACATCCGAACTCAACACACACACACACGAGTAAAAAAAAATGACACAATTTCAAAAGGGACTGGAAGAAGAAGATTAGAGACACGAGTAAAAAAAAATGACACAATTTCAAAAGGGACTGGAAGAAGAAGATTAGAGACGGTCAATATAATATGCATATGTACTATAATAAACTGATAATGAACCCTCTCGTTAGCCCGTCTGTCGCCCGACATTACTTAACTAAAGGTACAATCCATGTTTGAGCTATCAGGATCATTTCAGCGTTTTCTGACAAGTTTAGATTCCAAACTTCCTCTTGGGTGCTACTGAATTTCAAAATATGCTAAATAGACACCAGGATTGACAGACATTTATCTTTATACATAGTATATAGGTTCCTGGGAGAAACTGATTTTTTTGTTTTTCCAATTTTAGAAAACGCTCCTTTTTTGAGTCTAGGATAGCAGGAAAACCATTATTTTTTTAATTTTACAGAATATATATGTTCTCTAAAAACAATAGACTTAGAAATAAAAGAATGTGAACAGGAAGTTTTGTGCACTGAATGACAGGACAATTTAATAAGTAAAAAATTATAATGTATCGGAGAAAAATATGCTTTAAGAAATATATATATATAAATATGTTTAGATCTCTACTGAAGTGTTAAGATACTATATTTTCATAAAATAGCTAGATCTCCAACTTAGTCCAGAGACCAAAGTCAATTAAGACTAAACTAATTCCACATTTGTTTACAACATAAAGTTTTACAGTACCTTGGTGACTTAAAAAAAATCTCTTTAGGTAGAAAACTGATGGATATTTAAAATTATTAATCCTTTCCTCATAAAATCGAAAGAAAATATAGATTTCAGTGGTGGATAAAGGAATTTCATGATAGTAAGTGCAGTAAAAAGCAGGAGGTCGGGGGAGGGGGGTGGGGGTCTGTATTACAGTATTGATCTGTCCAGAGCAAAGCTGTCATGTGACAAAACACACTGTCAAAGAGAGGTGGGGGGTTAGGGGGTGGGGAGGTTGGGTTTTTTCACTCTGGTGCTGGATCTGTCTTTAAATTTTTCTAAAATCATTTATTTTTTTAATACATGTATCAATCACTTTCTCTTTATAAACTTTCTATTACATTCATAACTGGGAACCCAATGTCATTTCACTTCATACAATATATGTTGAACATAATGAATATAGGAATGCTAGAACTTTTATAGTTGTGTTTCATATGGAACATGATAAACAGCAAACTCTTCACACACGAAACACAACTTTAATCCATTGTTAACAATACTGTATTAACAGCTAAATAGGAATTAAACTGCTATAGCCTTAAGACTACTTGACTTGATTCCGTGTTATTAAAACACCCTCACCTAATACAAATATGCAAACAGATTGAAAAATTCATATCGCCATAACAAAACATAGCAATATACATAACCCTTTTTTAAGTTTCAGGGTTTTCAGGTCAGGGTTTTTGGGGTTCCACAGCAGCATTTCTGTTATATATAACCAAGTTAATAATGAAATAATTTAAAAAAAAAAAAAAAAAAAAAAAAAAAATTCAATGTTTACAAAAAAGTGCTTATAATAAAAAATTAAGATATAAACATGATCAAATGTTTTCAAAAGAATTTTTAAATGACTAAAATATCAGATTTGAGGAATTTAAAGACTTTACATGTAGAAAAGGTGTCAGTGAAGCTTCTAGTGCTTTTTAAGCAGACATATTTCTTGCAAAAAATTTCACAATTGAAAGTTCAAAACATCCAGCTTCATGTGCATTTCTGATACCCCTTTTATTTGCAACTTCTAGAAATGTAAGTACACATGTAAATTTTATGACATTTCAATAACATTTAGCAAACCTATGATATATTCACCTGTTAATTTTTTTTTTTTTTAAGTACATAATGTGAAAATCTGTTTACATTTCTGATGAAACAGATTGTTGTTTTAAGATAATTTGAAAAGCAGGTATTGCAAGGTACTTCTATAATTATTTTTTTCTGCACTAAAATGACATTGATTCAGAAGTAAACGTTTAAGGGACTCGCCCCCAAAAAATTCTCTTCTTATCGCCTCATGTAGGTACAATGCCAAAAAAACCCTTAACGACTGAAGCGTGTAGTCATGAATGACAAATCTTTTATATCAGAAAAGTGAAAGAAAAAAATAAATAAAACGGGATCCTCTCTCTCTCTCCTTCTCTCTACCTGGGCAGGCTAAAAAGATTTCGAGAGATAGAAAAAAAGACAGGACACGCTTCACGGCACAGTTTAACAAGAAGACACTACAATTGTAGGTCATCCTGGAGCAGAACAAAGATCAAATATTTAAATCGCTCGCGAGGGCAAACGACACAATACCTCGCTCTTGACTGTTCCGTCAAGAAAAATATTTGGATTTCGTGGTGTATTATCAACTTAAAGAGCTAGCGGTTTATATTGGGAATAAATCTTGGGGTCTTGTCTTTTTAAAAAAATACTTAACACAGACTTGACTGCATTTAGGAGAGAAAATATTTGTGAATGTTGAGTCAATAATTAGGAGATATCTCTCAAAATAGTCATGGGCTATGTGAGGGCCCTTAAAAATTATCAATGATCATTTCATAGACAAATTGACAATAATAGGTCAAAAATAGACCTGTGTATATGAGACTACTTCACTTTTATCTTTTCAAGGGTAAAAAATACCTTAATTTCTAATCAATTCTCTGATCACAACCTAAAGAAAATATATATATATTCTGCGACTGTAAGACAATTTCTCAACAACAAAAAAAACTGAGCAATTTCTGATTTGATGAGGGAATCATTAATGTAGAAAAATTAACATTTAGGCAAAACTTCCAAAAGGGAAAGACCAAAGGGGCATAATGCATTGATGGATTTAGCTTACAGGGAGCTGAATTGGTTTTTAAAATTGATGTACAATTGTACACTCTCATTTTCAAGATTCCCACTCGCAAGAAGAAAAATTCTGGGATCCACCTACTCAAAGGAAAGCCATAATAGACAAGCTACAATTCTTCTATAAGGAAAACCACTCAGAAAAAAAAAGTGTTTTCGTTACCTGATATATCACCGTCAAAATGTTTTCTGCATGAAGGTGTGAGACCTGTTTCCGTGGAAACTGTTTCCATAGAAATATCACTGGGCCAATCAATTCCTGAAATTAAAGAAAAGAAAATAACATTACAAATAGCTAATGCACTTTATTTCTCCATCAATGTACTGGTTCATCAATAGGCGCGGTTAAAAAAATCATGTGCATGCAGGGCAGGACAAATAGCTAGACAGAAGTAGGGCTTGTAGCATGTGGATTGGCAGAATCGAGAGCATGTAAATATAAGGAATAACTGTCAGATTTTTCGATTTCATGATGATGCTCAATCGACTGGCTTGCATGATAATTTTATGCATAAATGCCTATGCAAGTTATCACGCAAGCCAATCGATTGATCACATCATGAAATCAAAAAATAAGACAGTTATTCCTTGAGTAAAGGGTTAGGTGGAGGTATAGGCAAATATTCTCTGATGACCTTACTACAAACACATATACTTTTTAATTTGTTTAGATGCAAACTTTGCAATTAGTTCATAATATCCCATTTATCTGGGTGTACATGTAACTTTTCCACACAAAAGTCTTTTCCATATAATTTTCATTAAATAATTTTTAAGCTGTAAAATGCTTCTTGTGGCAGATATACCATATGTGGCGATTGAATCCTGTCTTATGCAATAGTCAGTTGGCAATAGAGTACTTAATTTTGATAGTCATCCATGTGGCGCAGTTGTTAGAGCGTCAGAGTCAAGATATCTGCATGTTCAAGATACCAAAATTAGGTACTCAACTGCCAACTGACTAGGGACAAGACAGGATTTATCTAAAATGGTCACCCACTCTGGCACATGGTGTAGTGGTTAGAGTATCTCCTCTATAATCGCGAAGTTGATTCTTACGTCGCTGGCTCGAATCCCACTGTGGGATGTGGAGACCAGTCCTTCGGATGAGACCGTATAAGCTGAAGTCCTGTGTCGCAGTAGATGATGCTGGCACAAAAAAAGATCCCTCCCTGCTCAATGGCCCTGAGATTCTCAAGAGGGACGTTAAACAATATACAATCAATCATAGATATCAAAATTCAACTTTACTTTTTTGAAATGGTTACTACCATTATTTCCCTTGGACAATCCAATCTCCATAAATATGGAAGCCAAATAGCCAATAACTTTTTTTTCCCAGAAAAAAAAATTAGGGGGGAACAGAGTGATAATATGAGTACATGTATACAGGTCCATTTCAAGAATCTGTACACTTTTTAAATCTGCAGTCCTGTTCATAAATAGAATCAAAAGCATCTAGATCTGGACTTGAAATCATAGCCAGCAAGATGGTCTGAAAATCTTGGATACTGTATACAGGGTTATTTTCACCCCATGTTATTTTTGCCCTTTTACACTTGAAAACAATTTTGTCCCGTTTTATATTCGCCCAGTTTTGTTTAAGAAATAATACAGTGTTCTTTGAATTCGCCTCGTTTTAAATTCGCCGAAAGAAGGATCGGGCAAAAGGGGCAAAAATAAAACAGGGGCGAAAATTTCCCTGTATACAGTATTGTTTTGTTGTGCTATACATAATGTATCAAAATTCTGTCATTAAGAGAGTTGTGTCCAAATTGTAATGATTCAAGTCGTATCAAAATTTTGGTGTTATAGGTTGCACTATGAAGTAACACAATGTAAACAAAACATGATCATTCTAAGAATGAGTTGTCTTGTTTTAAATCTGAATGATTGCATGCTCAGTTAACATAGGAGAATAAATGCAAACATGGATATGTTTAAGTGATTTAGAAGTCACACTTTTTTTCCCCTAAGTATATTGAACACTGAAATTTCACCAAGTTTGTTTTTCTTGGTTCCATCAAGTTTGAGACAGAGGTTCAACTGTATATACAGTAAAACTTTGTTATCTCAAAACTGATAGAGCTGAGACAAAACTTTAAAATATCTGAGAATTTGAGATATCGAGGGTAAAATACTTAAAGAATATGTGGATGGCACTTCCACACCACTTCGACATATCCATGGAATTCGAGAAATTGGAGTTCAAGATACCGAAGTTCAACTGTATATGTACTTGCTCAGTGAAACACATCGTCTCAAGCCACGGTCCCGAGTCCACATATAGCTCTCTCCTACCCGTAGCTGCTTGATCACAAAAAGTGTCGTAAACTTGAATATTTACGCCTCTCTATTGTGACGTCATATTCAGTCAGTGGCAAATTTTGTTTCCATTGCAATTGAAATCAACAACTGACGTCAACAGTATGCAAGAAATATTTCCTTTACTGCAATTGGATATTGAAAGGTTGCGATAAAGTTCATCTCCCGACTATGCTTTACTCGCATTGGTCAAAATTTAAATGAGCTACGAAGAATTCTCTCCTCGTTCAACCACTGCCAGAATGGGAGAGGATCGTACATTTTGGCCGTGGTTTGCGACGATGAGTGAAACATTTTTAGGAATGTTCTCAACTGGCCAGTTAAAATTTAGATGGCCCAAATAACTAGCAATAACATCATTATTTCTAGCTCTGCTATACTATATATTTGTATGCTTACCTGAGGTAAGAGAATTTGCTTTGTCAGCACAATATGAAGATTCTGAAATTATATTAAAAACATTCAGTTAATTCCATCTTAAATCAATTCAAATGAAGTTGTGGTAGTTCTGCAGTTCAAAGCAATAAAGCTCCTTTAGTTTACTTTTTCAGTTTTCAATTGTGAAAACTTGCATGTCATATATGTATAAATGCAGAGAAATAGTCAAATTAATTCTGAAGAAATGACTCCCTTACATGTATGAAGATGATGATGATTTTTAAGCTCTGACTTTTACATCTTCAAATTCTAGCTATTGTCAACATTTTCTCTCGCCCCCTTTTTCCAACATCCCTCCCCTTTTCTCCTTCCCTCAGTCTTCAATATACATTTACGTCTTTTTCCTAACCATTGCTTTCGATGCTTTCCACAAAGTTTTATTTTCTTCACTTTCATACCCTTCTCACTCTCTTTCTTGTCTGGCTACAGGGTTTGACATTAAGGCACGTCCGACTGACTGAGTCTAGTAAAAGATAGGTCCGGTCGGGTAAAATGTCTGTGTACTAGACCGACTGATCGTGTAAGAAAGTAAAGGAACTTATTATATATTTTTAAATAAATTATTTATTGCCGATGAAAAAATAAAACGTTTCTAACCGCAGAGTACAAAGAAAACCACATGTGTTACAGACAGCATGACTGAAGTGCTATCAGTTCATACATGTATGTATTGACATTCGTAACTACTCGGCCATTTTCCTAGAGAGAAACAATGAGCTATATATTGTTTACTTAAATGGCTGAGTAGTTACGATTGTCATTGTCAAAAGATTCACGTTTACGACATCGGTAATCATGTAAATAACAATAAAACTATAATAATAAAATTATTCTTGCTAAACTTAAATTCTCTGAACATTTTTAATGGCATCGAGTACTATTGTACATGTATACAAGTTGAGTAAACTAGGACTAAACATGACAAGCCACATGAATATGACCGAGTTTCAATGTGACGTGTGCGGGAAAATGTTGTTATTTCAATGTGGATTCTCATCATCTGCACAGAAAAAACAATTATCACTTTTTTGTACTTTAAATATGTTTTCTCAAGTTTGGTCAGGGCTAATGGTTAAAGGGTAAGGGCTAGTAAAAATTTGCCAGAGTAGCCCGACTGGTCTAGTATTCCAAAAGCTTAATGTCAAACCCTGGGCTAAAACTGTTTCTTTTTTTTCTCCGAAGACCAAAAAAATCTTAACCTCTGATTTCTCTGTCTCTCTCTGTTTTGTCTCTTCTTTTCTCTCTCTCTATTTCTATTGTTTTGTATCTTTTATCTTCTTAGAACTACAAGTTCTATCATATTTCTTTTTTTTTGCCTTTCCCTCGAGACATGTGTACCTCCCCCCTTCCCCTCTCTCAGATTGTCATGTTTGTCTTTTCTCTTTCTTATCTCTAGCTACTCTTGCCTAAGGACTTTTCTTATTTCTTTTTCCTCCTTGACTGTCAACCTCTAATTTCGCTGTCTCTCCTGTTCTTTTATCTCTTCCTTTCTCTCTCTCTATTTCTACCTTCGTCTTTTTCTATCCTGTATTTCATTTCCCTTGAGACAAAGGGAACCTCTCTTCTCTTTCTTTCTCTCTCAGTTGTCCTGTTTGTCTTTTCTCTCTCTTATCTCAGTCTTTCTTCCACCTCTCTTTCTCTCCCCCTGGTTTAGCCCCCCTCTCTCCATATCCCTGATATCTGTCTTAACTTTCTACCTGTGCCCCCCTCTCCTAAACAGTCATTTATCAGCATGCCTTTTAAACCAACACAGAGAATACGCTTTCCCAAACATTAAACAGCAGTTAAGGCCTACCTAATACACCAAGTGAGAGACCTTTAAAACTGTCTTCTGTTTACACAGAACAAGCAAGAATTCCTCTCTCTAGTCCCCTATAACCAGGGTCTCTACATCCTGTGTCAACAAGCAGTATGACTTTATCCCTTCAACGTGACCTTCACAGAGGTGGATCCAACATTTTAGGGTCCCTACACCCTGTGTGTCTACAGGCAATATGACATTATCCCTTCTACACTGAACCAACTGTGACCTTCGAAGGGGGTGGATCATACTTTTTTCAGTTGGAAGGAGAATAAAAATTTCAAAAAGGTCAATAGTCAAACATGAAAATTGTACTTATCTATGTGTTTTTAAATGTGTGAAAGGAGGTGAAGGGGGGGGGGGGGGGGGGGGGCGGGGTGGTCACTGCATTCCCGTTTCCTTTTAAAAGGTGAATTCTTTCCTATAACAATGAACATGATGGAAACACTACTTTTTTTAAAAATTGATATGACTTTTTTGAATCCTTTTTCATGTCAGATGATATTTTTAAAAAAACTTTCCTTGTTTAAAGGGGAGGCAGACTGCCCTCGGGTCCCCCCCCCAAGGACTTTACCCCTTCGTCACTGCATCAGCCCTTCACTTTTCCTTTTACAATCATTTCAGCATTCCAGGTTCAATTTGTTAAAAATTTGACATTATTCTTCAAAAGAGCGGGGTTATCATTAAGTCCCTGGTGAGGGGTTAGATATTGTGTGTTTATTGGAAGGGGATGTGTGTGTCTTGGAGGGGTCTCCCTTTTACAGAGGGAAAAGTGTTTATAAACTGAGAAATGGGAACAAGATTCTGAGTTCTGCCTGGTGCATTCTGAATTAATTTTTGTTTACCTCTATACTGTTTCAGTTTCTTACTAATTCTTGCCTCTCTTGTTGTTTCCTCTATTCACTAATCACTTGATGCAAAAAGTGGATACTTGAGTAATTTTTATCTATTATAATGATTGTGCACACGAAGCTTTGGGTAAGGGTAAGCCGTGTGCTTGCTCTAAATTATATGAACACATTATAGCAAAGGTCACTCTGTATGCGACAAAATTATTTCAACTCTGACTTTATTTTCTGAGCATTACCACTTTTGTATGTGTTCATCATGTTTTGAGGTGTTCTTTGAATACCAAAAGAGCATAGATGCTTTATATCACTAAGAGCACAAACTAAGAAGATGAAGACAGATTTGGAATTTTGCTTTGTCTGGCCTGATTTTCTTGGTTTGACTAACCTTTCAAATCTGGCTCGACTACAGAGATGGAAACAGATTTGTGTATCAAAAACATGTAGAATTCTCCTCAGAAAGTGGACACGGTTTTGCTTTAATCAGCTGTTAATCCATGGCAAATATATACATGGAGCACTAAAACACTGCTGTAAATGGGTTTAATGTTAAACAACAGTACTATAAAAAGCCACTTTAGAGATTTGATTTTAATTTAAATTTAAATTTCTTTATGCACAAATAAACCCAGATTGTGACCTTATCAACATGGCACAACCATCCTCCCAATGCTTGTAATGACCAAAATTCCTTAACTTGACCCATTTCAAAACATTTCAAAAAGCATCAACATGCTATGTCTACACATGCAAATGCTCATCATTGACCTAGATATTACCCACATAGATCCATTGACCAACATTCACATAACAACAACAGGATCAATTCCATGCTACATAGATAAGATCAATGCATTCTGCATCCACACATTCAGTTGACCTACAGAATCCTAGGATGTTTTTTCACACACTTTCATACATGATATTTACAGTATCACCAAACACATACAAAATCTTAGTAGATACCCTCTCCAATTCTTGGCGCTATATTCAGCATCCTGGGACACGGGGGCCAGGGAATTTCTCAATCAGGTATATTAAATGACATAATCCCCCTAGTAACTCTGATACATGTTTGTATTCCATCTCAGCCCCCCTTGCTAAGAGAGGAACCCCAGATCCCCTTTTTCTTTATGTCCCGCTGCTGTTTTGATACCTCAGGGGTAGGGACAACCCTGTTTATCGATATTTTAACCTTGGACACCCCAGAACCCCTTCTTTTTAAGTCCTACTTCTGTTTTGATTCCTAGGGTCAGTGGAGGCTGGTGATAGTCCTGTTTATTCATTATTTTTTACCTGGGACACACAATTATTACCTGCAGTTTGTTGTATACTCCAATGATGCGGATTGCAACAAACGTACAGCGGATCTTTATCCGTTTCACAACACGGCAATTGCCGCAACGTCGTGTCCAAAGTCAGGTCGGGCCAACGCCAGACCTGACAGCACAGAATATGAGGGTCCGTCGTGTGTTTCCCCATTTTTAATTCCACATTGGGAAGCAACACACATGGAGTTTGTTCCCTGCCCTTCGACTCTACGCTTTGGAGCAAAATTTCCAAGTTTTTCTCCTTGAGGCGTTTCAACATAGAATGAAGGACTGATTTGCTTTCGCTCGCTTCTTTTTCATTTTGACTTTCGGAGTCATTTTGTGTTATTCGTAGTTTCCAGAGCTCGCGTACTAGTGTCGATCTCTTGGAACGAAACATATAAGTCTCCGAATACTCCCCTTCCGGAACATTGGATATTGTCCTATATTCACTAATGGTGAAGGTTTGGTGGATACGAACACACAAAGCATAAAATTCCTGCGTGTTTCTGAAAGTAATCACACATTTTCCAAAGAATACTTAATCCACGCTTGTTGGCGAAACATCTAATGGACTGTGTTAATAGTCGGCGTGTAATGTATAAATTTATCACATGTTGATAGCAAGAAAAATCCTCATGAATCTTTAAATTCCATTGAAAACATAAACACCGACTCTCTATCTTGTTAGAACTGCCTGCATGTGCGTAAATTATCCAAGAGCTCTCCCGTATCAAAGCCACTAAAAACAGAAGGGAGAAAAAATTTTGGTATTTAAAAAAAAAAGAATTCAGTTTAAATTGCAATCAACTTTTCAACAGAAGAGTAAAAAAACTTAACCTTGGCGAGTCCATTTCAAATAGCTTAGGGGGTTGTTAACATGCGTTCATTAACTTATATATCTTTTAATATTTTACCTGGCTGCTCCAAAATATTCACGACTCTAGCATTAACAGGCAATCACAGATGAAGAAATGGCTAGGTATTCCAGAAGAAAATGGCGAACTTCTTTGAATGTTCACGGGATATCAAGATATGTCATGATTTTAACAAACAAAACACCATGTCTCTACTTTATCGAAATCTTAGTCTCTCCATTGAAACACACAGGTACGACTATTTACCGACGAGGCGAGTTATTTAGATAAAATGCGTTCTGATTGGTCGAAGGCTACCCACGTGACGAGTCTAGACTTTTTGGCGCGGCTTCGTGTCTGTTTGCGAGTTATAAACTATGTTATCGTGCAGGCGATCACTTCAAAACCAACGATTGCATGAAAAACGGGAGCGGATTCAGACAGTGTTGCTATATTTTTTATTGAAAGAAAAACAGAAATACAAAAGGAGAAAATCTGTATTATTTCATAAATTAAAAATGTGGGTTGAAATTATTTTGGGTGGGTCGTACATGTGTTTCATTGTTTAATGTAAAAGTTCCCATGAAATCAATTAAACATAAATACCTGTTGTTTGTAGATTTATGTACATGTATGTATTTTTATTTACAGCTACGAAGAATTTCAAACCAACCCTAATGAGGATAGGTCTTAAACATTAATAACATTTATTTAATCCACTTATTACAAAAGTAAAAAAAAAATTTGAAATTCGATATTGGAAGGGAAAAACATAGAATATTTGTCAAATATTGTAACCTTAATTCTTTGTATATATTAAGATTTTTAAAAAAAAAAAAAAAAAAAAAAAAATGACGTTTAAATTAATTCAGAGACATATTAAACCATATGATTTTATATGTCTCTGATTAATTGTAATGGGATTCTTTTTAATTTAATTTTTTCTTGTTTATTTTTATTTATTTATTTATTTATTTGATGTTTTCGTAAAATTGTTAGAACATGAACAACATAAAAAGAAAGGTGGGTCAATTTGGAAGAGGGGATGCGGATCATAGCTGAAAGGTGGCAGATAATTGTGTTAGGGAAATGGAAATCTCCCGTCTTTCCAATACTTTTCAATGATTTTTGAAACATGAAAATAAATAAAAACATGTATATGAATAAATTAATTAATTAATTAATTTATAATTAAATAAATATAAAATTCTATCTTAGTTTGGTACAAATGACGTACTTAATCACCCCTCTCATTATTTTCTAGAAAGTATATTAAATTGAAAAAAGAATTTAATTTAATTTAATTTATTTAATCACTTTAATGCTAATTCTTTTTTTTTACTTTTACATTATACTTTTAGTGCTATATTTTGTGGTACACAGAACAGTGTGCAGTCAGTTTTAAATATTTCATTTAAATGACTCACGGTAGAAATGCAATGTTAGGTGATCATTTCTGTCCATGTCTCTAAAGATTTTTTTTTCCTCGCGAGGGATTGCCCATTTTCTGTTTTGTCAACATATAAAGACCTATTATCAATACAAACAATAAACTTGACTCGATACACACACATTATGGCGCAGACTTCTAACTGCGCTCAGTGACGCGGTTGATCGTCTGCGGCTAGCCCAAGGGCGCCAATCGGCTGTGTACTCTAACGACTGCTAGCGCCACGCTTCGAACTCCCGTGTTCAAAAGCAGACGATCGGGAAAAACAGAGGAACAGCCATAGGAAATGAGAAAGTTGTAAGGCAGACGACGAGAAGAGAGAAAAAAATCAATTCACGACGAGTGAGAGACACACGGGAAATAAATTAATGTTGAAATGTCTCATTATGACATGTACACAGGTAAATAAACGAGACAAGGAGCATGTCTCGTATATAAAGCTGATACTATTAGGTACAAAAAGGAATAGGTGAATATATAGGCACTACATGAATTAAAACAATGGATTTAATTATCAATTTAGTTATCTACTTGTACCTTTTTTATACTCTTAATTAAAAGTCAATAGTTTTAAAGTCAATAGGCGGAATTGTTATCTAGTTTCTAACTCTTTTCTCAACTCTATAATTCAATATAACAGTAAGGACCTATATAAATTTAGTTAATCAAAGTGGACACAAGGTGACAAGAGTTATTTTTCTTTGTTCCTGTAAGCATTAGGAACTTAGGAAGTTAAAAAAAATAAGCATGAAAATATGACGATTTTTTTCTTGTTCAAACTTTTCATTATTAGAAAAGGCTGTATGATCTGAAAAAAATCTTTCGAAGTTTGTATATTCTCCGTTGAATGATTGGACACTGATCTTCAATGTCGTATTTAGCTAATCAATATTTATTAATGTTTAGTAACGTGGGGATGTAGCTCAGTGGTAGAGCGCTCGCTTTGCATGTGAGAGGCCCCGGGTTCGATCCCCGGCATCTCCAGAAACTTTTTTTATTTTTTTTTTCCTCAAATTCAATTTTTCTAAAACTGATATTTTGTTCTATGATACAATTAAAATCTCTTTCTACAGGTTAGGGAAGAAATCATTCAAATTCAACCTCACATTTTTTTGCCCACATAGTCTGAAATATGCCCTATCAGAAGATTGTGAAATCAGACATTCAAGCCTTTTTTTAGAATTATCAATAATTATTTATCTTTTGCAAATTTGTTTGATACTTTTAATAAAGATAACCTTAACTTTTTGTTACTTTTAATCAGTAAGTCATATTGATACTGGAAAATTTGGGTAAAATATTAAGTAAAAATAGAACATGCATGGCATCAGAATGGAAAATTTACATATAAATAGCCAACAATTTTAGTTTTCTTAAGAGAAAATGTATTATATTCAATTTTAACAAAAAAACAACAGAATGATTCAAATGGGTCCTAGAAAATTTAACCAGTGGTTTCAGATATATTGGCGATTAAGATATTTCAATGGCAAAAAACCGAAAAGATTCAGTGGATGACGTCACAATATTTGACCTTTGAGCTCTTGATGTGACCTTGGCCTAAAGAATAGGACGAAAATTTTAATTTGCATTTTATAACAGACTGTTATAAAACCTGCTTGTATATATTGCATTTAGATAACGTAAACATAAAATTAATCCAAAATGTAAGCTCCCAACTGACCAATATATAAGATTCTCTGATTTTTTTTTTACGCAAAATATAACGCAAACATGCAAAAACTGATTATTTTTCTTACAAAGATCATTCTTTGTTGTCAATATTCTTATAATTATTCTTTTTTTTCTCCAGTACTTTTTAAGAAATGGGTAAGAATTAGTCTAAGGGTGTTTTGTCCTACCTTTAAAAAGATTTTCCCCGCGCTTGCGCATTTTTGGGCCTTCATCTAGAACATGTACTTGTGTGGTACTGAGGCATTTGATATGCATGAATTTCATTTCAAATATTATAACTTGTCAAATTCATGACTGTGTTGATTTATTAACGTAACGATCCATACTATGCTTTGAAACTAACAAAGCTACAAATCTCTCTGCATGCATGAAACTTCTCAAAATCATGTTCTATTACAAAGTAAGTACATGTCATTTCCGGGATCTTTGTCAATTTCGAGTTCAACCGAACCTCCTTTTGTAAGAACAGTTACTAAAAATCAAATGCTTAAAAACATATGAATTATAGAGAATAAATGCTTGTTTAAGGATTTGGATTTTTTTAACTCTGCTAATTCACTTCATTGTACTTTCTACTTTGCACGTTATGCAAATTATCCCATGTTTCCACCTACCACTGATGCCCCGTCATACCCAGCAATCTAGACAGGGATTCCAAATAGGTATCTATATTGTAAAAGTGGGAGGGTCTGTACAACCTAAAAAAAAAGACTGTTATTATATTCTGTTCTAATCCCCACTAAAATGAACATATGTATTGACACAAAATGAATAATCTTATATATACATGTAGATATAATGCTATAGTTAAATTTTTACATTCTGCAAGGATATCGATGCAAAATGTGACAAGGTAGAATGTTATATAGTCCCAATTTATTACATTTTGCATTGTTATTATTCGTCGTCCAGAAAAAATCCCAAAGTTTCAATGAATCGCCTATAAGTTGGACAATGCATTTTGGAATAAAATTTAACTCCCCAAGTCCCACCTATAGGTGAGTATATATAATACGGTAAACTGTAACTGAGCGGGGGGGGGGGGGGGGGGGGTGAGAGAGGGGGGGCTAAGCCCCCACTTTTCTTTGCAAAGATATACTTACAAAAAGGGATAATAATGATATAAGTGGCAGTGTTTTGAAAAAAATGGTAATGAATTAAGTTTGTAACCCCAACTTTGCTTTCAAGGTTTAATTGTAATAGTTGCTGAACTGTAGCTCTCCGAAAATATATATAATATCTCCGGTCTGTCAATGTATATTTTCGGAGAGCTACAGTTCTGCAGATAGGTCGTAATGGACATTTGATGATTTTAAACTTTTTTTCTGTATTTACGCCAATGTGCAATAAATCGACCCTATAAGAATGATTAGACATCCATAGCTTTCCATATTCCATTGAGTACTCGGCACACCTCGGCCAATTCGATGTAGGTGACGTAATCAGCTGAGGTTTGCCGTGTGCACCATTGCAGCTCATTTAAGCATTGAATTATCATTTTTTGAAAGATTCAGTCTCATAACTGCAATGGTGTGTGCAAACAAATTGAATAACGCGCGTTGCTGTTATGAGACTGCATCTTTCAAAAAATGATAATTCAATGCTTATATTTACATTTTGTAGCCCCTGTATTTTCCACATTTTTAATTTTTTTTTAATTAAAATTCCCTCCTTATCCTTCATGTAAGTTGCAATTGATAGAACAGCTTATGGAATAGCTTAATCCAAGCTTCCCGCCAGAGTTTGTTTGCGCACAAGCCAAAATCCGCAAACGAAAATAGTGCACAATAAAACAGATAACAATAATCAAAGTTTTATTATTTTTCAATCTAAAATTATAAACGTTACTTTGCAACAGAGAAATACAAATGAATGGTATAAAAGACCTAAAGTTTTCGCTTTGTTTAAACTGTAATGACGTAGTCCCTGTTTTCATACGCCAGGCAGACTTCGGTAATTTGGTCTTGTGTGTTATGTGTATTTATCATTTGTAATTTTATCATGCGTTTTATTAGGGTCAAACAAAGTAAATGTAAATATCATATGATGAGGCCTATTTATAGAACGGATGAAAAATCTGCACCGAAGCAAGACTTTCCTTGATGAAAGCCCAATGTTATCATTTCATCATTCTATCATTTTGGACACTTATTTTTCTAGTAATTGTGCGGATTTGGTTCCGTGTTTAGTATTCTTCTATGTATATCCGGTTTTATACAGATTTCCACGACCCAT